TAATCTCCATACCACATGTAGTCTGATCCTTAACATTTAGGACTGAATTGATTCTGTCTTGTGCTGTCACAATTACTTCACGTACGTAGGTCACCAGGTCCCTCTATTTCTGAATATTTCATGTATTAATTCCCCCCTGCCTCAAGCCTCACCTCTCTATGATTTTTCTGCACACTGCCAAAGTAAGTTTTATAAAATCTAAAGAACTCTCTCATTAACTAAACCTTGTGACTTCTAATTCTTGACAATGAATCCTGTAAATAAAAACATCTCATTAAAGAATGTGGAATGTGGGGCCGGGGATTTAGTTCAGTGGTTCTACAGCCTGCCTTGCAAGCGCAAGGACCAGAGTTGGATCCCTGGTACCAAAAAAAAAAAAAAAAAAAAAAAAAAAAAAAAAAAGATCAGCAGTTTCCATAAAGTGCTAACAAATCTTTGGCCAGGTGTGGTGACGCACACCTGTAATCCAGCACCCAGGAGGCTGAGGCAGGATGTTTGCTGTGAGTTCTAGACCAGCCTGGGCCACATAGTGAGTTCCAGGTCAGTCTCAACTACAGAGTGAGACCCTGTCTCAAAACAAAACAAAAAAAAGAAAACACAGAGCCTATACTCTTAAAATTCAGTTTAAACTAGACACAAAAGTTTGGTTGGGACAGTGTTCTGTCCTCTTTCTACATAATGCTACATAGTCAAGTAAAGATTCCTGCAAGAAATGAAAATTCGGGCCAGGGATCTAGCTCAGTGGTTCTGCCGCCTGCCTCACAAGCACAAGGACCCGAGTTCAATCCCGGGTACCAAAAAAAAAAAAAAAAAAAAAAAGAAAGAAAATTCTATGTGCCTCCAGTTATAGAACAACTCTCTTTATATATCCTGCTTGGGAAATAAACAGACCCAAGAAGTCTTGGATTACATGAAGTTCATACTTGCAAGTCAGGATATTGTCCATGTATGACCTATCAAAGAAAGTTTATGTCAAATGGAAGCTTCTATCCCGGGTGGCACTAATATGATATTTTTAGACTTTCAAAGCTGTGAAATTTTATTTTAAATACTTAAGCTGTGTCCTATAGAAGCAGGCCATCCTTTTCTAACCCAGGCAGAAATTTTCTTCCCAGGCGACCTTAGAACATTGCCCTAGTTACCTACACAAAATGCCAGCAGAGTCTCTCATGAGAGAAATTTGATTTGAAAATTGTGAGCCAAATGAGTTTCTCCAAAGTCCTTCTGAAACAGGAAAGGCTGTAAGCAACCTCTGTGCTTCCCAGAAGAGACAAAGCCAGCACACTTGTCTCAAGTGAAACAGAGAAAGACTGCAATGCCCATTGAACAGGCATCTGCTCAGGCCACTCTCTGCTGGTCTGGAAACCAACAGATGGGGTTTTCTTTCTTTTTCATTCTTTGGCACTGGGGATCGAACTCTGGTCCTTGGGCTTGTGAGGCAAGTGGCAGCACCACTGAGCTAAATCCCTGGCCCCAGATGGGGTTTTAAAAAAGCAACTTTCACAATTGCAGAAAAGAATGCTCTTGGGCATGAGAGCAGTTATATATACTCACCAAAAAAGATTTTTCCTTGCTATTAATTTTTATTGTTGTATTATCATTTTATAATAAAATGGCCCTTTGTGCATCACATGGAAATTTTAGGAAAATCTGCAATCAGTTAGAGGAGTAGTTTTCCAAAACGTGGCCCCTTTACCACCCACATAAAAACTACCTGACAATGCCTAAAGAAAATTAGTTTCCTAGTGTCGCGAACTGGCGACGCAGAGCAATGTCCTGCAGTGCCTCAAACCTGAAAGAGCAGCGGGGTGGAGATGGGGCAGAGAGAAAGGAAGGACACCAAGACAAGAGTCTGATCAAGGCGACGTTTATTGCAAACAAGCATCAGCCTTTTAAAGGCACATCAACAGGAAACACCTGACTCCTACAGCTAACGTCAGATCTTTAACAGGAAGAACCTGACTCCTACAGATCTTTGGCTATCCGAGTTTCTCTCATGCAGGGTCAGAAACAAGTTTAACACGTGCAGTCCTTAAAGAGGAACAAATGTCACCCTTCAAAAAGCCAATGGGCCATGGCTGGCTTCCCACATATCCCCCTTTTTATTATATTTAGAGCAGGGACTTTCCTTGTTCAGCAGAAAGGCTGTGCCTGTCTTAGGTGAGAAATGTCCAGAGAAATCCCTTACCTGTCATCAAGCCATGAGAGGTCTAATACTCAGGCTCTGTCTTAGGTTGGATATTTCTCCACAATTCTCTAACCCGTCTTTGACTACCAGCCTCTGCAGGGGTTATACCA